TTTTTCACAATCAAGGCGTGTGTCTGTTGGAGAACGGGCCATGATGGCAGGGTCTCCAAAGGAAAGCCACTTGTCGATCACCCTAGGCTGGTGATTTGTCATTGAACCCTTGGATCTTTTGATCCTCAGCCCTTGATGGAAAGGTATTGGCCATCTTCAAGTGTAGCATCATGACCTTCCAAAAGCAACATTGATCCAGGTCAGGGAACCGCAAAGTGTATTGAACGCGGCTCAATTTTTGAACGCTGCCCAATTAAACCCCCACTAGGCAACTAGCACCGAAGCGGGATTCGGTGGCCTTCCTGAATCTCCAGAACATTGCTCGGAGCACACGTAGGGTCTCTATGCCGTTTGATTCTGTTTGATTACAATTTAGTGAATTTCCCACCGAACACGAACTTTCACAAGCCAGTAAGCACAAGCAGCGTCTGCTTGGAGCACTTGTTCTTTACTTTCGGGCAAAACCCAAGCGTCACTGAGGACCAACCAGCTTTCAAAATCTTCACTTGACTTGGATCTGAAACCGGAACCAGCAACCTTAGTTGGAAAGGTCCAACCTCCTGTAGACCCAAAACCGATGCAGGTGCAGGAAGTAGAGGAACACTCCTATTTCACGCTCCCTTCTCTTGAACAAAGACTCAATCTACCCTTTGGTGGATGAAGGTGTGAAGATGATTGGGCGAGGTCTGAAAAACTGGCGTTCAATCAACTGCCTCGCCGCAGGCAGACGGTTGCCGCAAGGGCGAATCTTGTACTCGGTGCCACTTTTGCACGAGATCCGAGATGAAGAAGAGAACCAACCGATTCATTGGCTGCATTGGACATCCGTATTTGTAGGAAAAAGGCACAAAAGCAAGACTCGGCTTGTGTCACGAGGTGGTTCTGGGGGGCTGTGTCTACTCTCTGCTTTCGATTCTCTCAACGAGAAGGCTATTCTTCTTTCAAGGCTAAGAGATTGTAAGCTTCAATTCGATGGCCTGACACCCTTTGTCTTGGAGATAAGAGGCACATGGAAGTGCGATCTGCTTCTAACTGGCGATGAGATACAATATTTTTGGATTGGATCAAGAAAGCCATAGAATTTGGTCTTGGTGACTATTGTTCCACTATATTCCATTGGATTGCAGGTTGCCAACTTTTCAGGCAGTGTTCAACATGTTTGCATCCGAACCAACGCCTGGCCACCTTTCTGATAGGGCTTACTTTTGGAAGGCCTAAGTTTGATACCTGGCGTTTGTCTCAGCTTCTTGCAGATCCTTTGGCTGTAGGTAAAGTAATTGAGGTAAAGTAATTGAACAGCTGCCCCCACTTCCTGTTCCTATCCCCAGATATCTTTGTGCTTCAACTTTGTGACTTTTGACTCAAGTCTAATCTGACTTCAGAACATGGAAAAGATTGCAAGGCTGACGGGGATTCAGTGATTGAGAACCAGGGTTGCGTGAGATCCCGACCAAGAATGAGTTCGTTTGTAGGGAGTTGTGGTGGGAAAAGGGCTTGAAAATGTGGCCGCGACAGGCTCAGAACTAAACGCCTATCTGAGGGCTTATCAATGAGCGTCGAAAGGGCAGAAATCAACGACGACGTGAAAATGGAAACTGAGTGGCTGAACATGGTCATCTGAGCTGATGGCAATACATTTGCGACTTGCAATAGAACTCAACGGTTTGTGCTTCCAATGACCCAACGAGTAGAGTCTCTACCCCGCAGGCGGTCCATTCTGTCTGGACGAATTATAAATGTTTATGAGCAAGATGTGAATGTAGAGATAGATTGGGTCGAATTTAGTCGAGAGCCTCAGCGGGGAGTTGACCAATTCGTTGAAGGACACGAAGGATTTGGAGCTGGGCTTGGTGTTACATCACCAAGCCTGGGGTTTTCGCAGCAAATCTAGCAAGCCAACCAAATGTGCAGTGGATCCTAGCTTCTGCGCAGGTACCAGAGGCAAGCAGTGCCGTTTCCGAAATTGCAACATTCAACCTTTTAGGTGCCTTTATATCACCATTTAGGTGCCATAACGGTCCCGCGGTATTTGTGGTTTTTCATTGGTTTGAGTCTGCATACATACACGTGCAACCGCCGAAGACATTTACAACATTGGTACTTCACACATGTATATATATACATACATACATACATACATACATACACATGCATGAACATGCATAATTTCAATGCACACCTGGTGGGTTGACATGGGGTAACAGCGCACCTGTGGCGTTGCATTATTCATACGTATATGTTTCATGTGGGTCACACTTACGTTTATGTTACATGCATGTTCGTTTGCATCCCACACGCACAGACACATGAGGTATGCGGCACACGTTTACACCTGTTGTCGAACGACATATTTGCACATGGCTGAGCCCAAAGACTGCCTGAATGCATAATTCCCGAATACGTAGCGAAGGGTTCTTGTTTAACTTGGGAGTCTGAGGGTAGAGCTGTGTTTGCCCGACGTTGTTTTCGAGTTTGCAACCGTTTGCAACCGTCCGCAACCGTTTGCAACCGTTTGCAACCGTCCGTATGATGTCTCTATGGCCCTGCCTTTGGGGGAAGCTTTTGCAAGTGACTTTTCATGGATCTGTCACGTGTCAGTTTGCGCCGCTATTACATTGTGATTTGCATGAAAGTGACATGTCGCGCAAGAAACGTGATGCATTTCGCTGCACAGGCGCAGGGTTTCGTGAAAGTGACACGTTTGTGTCGGTATTCCTTCGGGATTAGCGTTTGGAGAGTCGTTTTTTGGGGTGTTGGATGTGGCAGTGCCATTGGGGTTTGCGTTTCGGGGTGTGGCATCGAAGCGCTGTTTTCGTGACAAGTCTCGGCTGACATGGTGATTTTGGTGGATGGGAGTGTGCTCAGAACGGGCCGAAATCATTCCAAACGTGTGGTGTGGTGCAAACTTTGTTGAAGCTCACATGAGATGATATTCTCACTTTTCGTGGCAGGCGCAGTACTTTGTGCGGGTTTTGAGGTGTGGAAGTGCGATTTTCGTGGCAGGCGCAGGGAACCGTGAGGTTGCGACGTGTGACGGAGGTGACATTTCGTGGCAGGCGCAGGACTTTGTGCGCGTTAGACGTGTGGACGTGGAAAGATTCGTGGCGGGCGCAGGGAATCATGAGGAATGTCGCTGTGACGTTGGGATTGGCGTGTGAGCGGGTGTTGTTTGGAGGGGCTGGAATCGCGAAACTGCTTGGCAGGGCTGCGCGATGGGTGTGCTCCGATGGGTGTTTCCGCTTGACTTTGGGAGGAAGTCTCGTACGAAACGCTCGTTTTGCAGACTTTGACATGTGAGTTTTTGAGGAAGTCTCATACGAAACGCTTGTTTTGGAGCAATGACACTTTTGGAGGACGTCTCGTCCAAAACGGTCGTTTTGGAGACTTGACGTGTGACTTTTGGAGGAAGTCTCGTACGAAACGCTCGTTTTGGAGACTTGACGT